TTTTTTTTTACCCCTGACTCCATTAACATGCTTCCCGACGGGCAATGTCAGATACACACATACTGTTTCATTTCAGGAAGAAAGCCTCCTCCATTCCCTTTCTCTGGCTGCAGAATTTCCAGAGATTGTTTTATTTTACCCCAAGGGGTATTAAAAGGTAAAGTAGGTATCTGGTGGGACTGAGGGGGAATAGCATGAGTGTTTCCCAATAAAATGGCATGCAATTCCCAGGAGCAAGTCAGCAAGCTTCTGTTGCCCTTCGCTCATCATGAGCTCCGTGCGTCCCATCTTTTACTTTCTCCGTCACTTTGCCTTAAGCAGAATACATCCATTTCAGTTGCCTAGACAAAATACACCTCCAAAAGGCCCTCATGTCTTCCAGCTGAACTGTATTTCTTATAACAATTTTACGAGAGATCTTTGCCTTAAAAATGTTTCTGTTCTGCAGCCACTTCACAATTACAGTGGAAAAGAAAGAACGGTGCTTGTCTTGGCAGTTTTAACCTTTTTTTTTTAAGGTGGGAAGATGATGGCTGCCTGGTGTTTACATTATTAAAAGTAAGTGAAATCGGCATTTATAGCATATAAAATTAAATCTTTCTTCTTTAGTCCCTGGGTCTGAGAATACCCGTGTAGAGACCAAGACTTAACTAGATATAGTAAGCCAAGTTGAGATGCCTGAATATGCAAAGTAAGACAAGTAAAAAGATTCTCACTAGGGAAAAATGGATCTAAATTTCTAGTCTTCTATTTTCTTCCGTGTGGCATGCCACACTGCAGCATCATTGTGCTGTGATGTGGCTTGAGGGAAATAGCTGAAGGATTATCCCAGGAACTGTGGTCCCTTGTGGCATGCTTCCCTTTAACTTTACCAGAATTGATATTTCAAGGAAGAAAATACCACCTCCTGAGATGAGATTTCCACCTTGAACTTCTCTGAGCTCTTCAGGTTCACCTTTATAATTAGGGTGCTCTCCTCAGGCAAATGAGGAGGAGAGAGCAGAGGCAAATACTGCAGAGGAAATTTGTCTGGCAAAGGACCCGGATTGGATTTTAAAACAGCTTAAAAATTCTGAATCCTGCAACACCTTTGAGGGTGAACTTCAGAACCCATGCCTTTTCCATATGCCTCAACTACATGACATGGTCCTGGAGTTTTTGCCTACATGTGAGAGTTGACCCTTGGTTCGTACTCACGCCAGGATGCCAGAAAGATAGAGCGTTTCCGCCGCTAAGTAGGACAAGTAACTGAACATGAAGACGATGAGTGGTTCAATTGCAGATATATTCTGAGTGAAACGTGTGATAAAAGCAGAAATGAATCCAAAAATGATGCCAAAAAATACTCCCCCGAGTCCCACAATAATGAAACGGGCACATCCAGCCAAAATGTCAACAGTCTCTATATCTTCAAATGTATGCATCTTAGTGAAAGCAATTAGTATATTGTATAAGACCTGGGGTGGGGTGGGAGGAAAGAAAGAAAATAAGCACAGATTAGAAATGCTTTACATAACAATAAAGTACACAATAGATATTGATTATTGTTAATAATTACACAATAGGTATAAAGTATTAATTAATCAATGTAGATGCCTTTAATTTCTGTGAATAATGTACTGGTTTACTTATGTAAAGATTTAAATCTCAAAAATCCAAACGTGGAAGTTTTAGACTATCCTGTAGGGTCATCATGAGTCAGAATCGATTGTATTGCAGAGCAGTTGGTCTACTTGTGGTTTTATACTTCTGCTACCCACTTAATATGTAGGGTGCAGAAAGCTTATCTAAGCTAAAGCACGGATCTTGGCTTTGGGATGTGAGTTTGCAGAGAGATTCAGTCCTTAGAGTAGCTCAGGGGTCCCCCAGCCTAACCCACTGCCATCAAGGGGATTCCGACTCACAGAGACACAATATAAGGTTTCTGAAGCAGATAACTCAGGTGTCCCCAGTCCCCAAATCCGTCATTGCTAATGGGCCTTGTTGGTGGCAAAAAGAAAAAGAAGAGGGGCAAGCAACGGTTTCTTGGCTCCTATGTTTTTGTTCCTGAAGGTCCAGCTGCATCTACAATGCACAGCTTAATCACACTGATTTCTATAACCAAAAAGAACATAAATGGAATTAACTTATAATATTGGCCAGCACATTTGGGTGATAAATTTCTCAGAGCACAGTCTTTTTGAATTGCACAAGAGCCTAATCTTCAACTAGGCAATAACTAATTCCACTTAGTCTCTCTGTGAAGCTTAGAACACATGATTTGGGTGTGTGAGCAAGTTCCTGCCCAACTATTATCTGGACACCTGCCCCTCACCCCAGAGGAATTTATTTCAAAGGACAACATTGAATCTGCAGCTCCAGGAGAGGGACATATCTGATTGGAGCCCACGGGAGCAGATGAAGGGGGAGGAGGAAAGATTGGAGCACATCCTGGCCCACCAGGCCTGGAGGACAATGTGCGGGACACAAATGATGTATGAATGGATTGTGAAAAGAGTAGTATAGCCCCTAATAAAGTGATTTAAAAAGAAGAAACAATCTGTCAAGGTATCTAGCTCGCAACTCCCATGTTACTCAAAATGTAAGAGCTACAACAAGCAAACATTTGGTGGTACTGTGCTGATTTAACTTTATTAAAACTCATTTTCTATATTTTTCATAAATAGAAATAAAAAGTATAAAAAAATTAAACAAGCAAAACAGGACAGGAGAGCCTTCCGGCTCCTTATGTTTCTTACTGATAGCTCTCCAGATCTGGCAGAAAACCAGGGTGAAGCAGATGAAGGCCCAGTTCCACTCGTGGTTCTTTCCCACAGTGGACACACCCATGAAGATGAAGATCAGGGTCTCGCTGACACTGCTCAGCATCTTCATGAAATACTTGATGGTCGTGTAGGATGTCTGGGACACGTTCTCTTCCACATACTTTTTCATTGTCACAGCACAGGCTGTGATTCTGCAAAAAGAACAGAGTCTCAGAGAGAATGATTTTTTTTTTACCCCTGACTCCATTAACATGCTTCCCGACGGGCAATGTCAGATACACACATACTGTTTCATTTCAGGAAGAAAGCCTCCTCCATTCCCTTTCTCTGGCTGCAGA